TATTTATATGCATTTTTGTTTTGTGTACCCTGTTTGTTGCAATGTATACGAAAAATGATTGAAAGATCGGTTTCAGCAGTGTTTCTAGTAAAACAAAAAGGGGGAGATGTGGGAATGGGAGTCTCACTAGCGGACATTCCTGAGTTTGATTTTAATGAGCAAACACTGCACCACCTGGCATGACAAGGCACTTAAGCAGTAAATAACGGAGAAAGGAATGTGCAGTTGAAAGGAGAAAAACAAGATAAAGACCATGAAGGCATTTCGCATGATCAGAAAGAACGGGCCAATCTGCTAGAGCATAGATGCGCGTGAACACAAGGCTGTAACCTATCTGCAAGCTGCAGGTAGCGCGTGTCCATAGTAGATAACTATATAAGCCTTGTTATAAGTGTAAATAAAGGAGAATGACCATACTCATATTGAGATCTGTCATTACTCCGGAATCGCAACTCCCGCTCCGTCGTCGACACTGAACAAAGGGAAACTCCGACAATAACTCTCTTTGGAGACCAAGCTGATACGAAGAGCGGAGTGAAAACAAATGTCAATACACAGCGTCAGGAAACCGGAATGGGCCCAATGGCTCAAAAGAGCGCTTTTCCAAAACATTCGAAGTGGTGGTTTTACAGACATAACATGAAACCAGAGCAGAAGATTCTGCAGAAAGAACTATCAGAAAATTCATGGCTGCACAGTGAAATAACCGTACAAACATTTTGCATGGATTTAACTGAAGTAATGTCTGGCCACAAAGACACCATTATTTCCACTGGATGAAACCTAGCAAAATTTGTACGGATGACAATGCAGAAAACATAAGAAGTTTACCTGAGAAAACAAGGTCACTTTCCTGAGTTTCAAGAGTGGAATATTTTATTGTAGACGTTCAGACAGACTCACTCAAAAATAATTTATGCTGATCTATTGAAAGTTACAATTCAGAAATGTGTATTACTATGGTATTAGCAAGAAACAGTTGTTCACTTCAGATTAAAAAGGCAATGACAGCACATTGAAAAAGGCATGACAACACGTATTTTTATTTAGAAATAGTTCTGCAAATTACTTTGCACAGCAAAACAAATTACTATACATAATATTGTTCAGTGTTCCTTCATTCAAAATAACCTCTTTTAGTAATTTAGTTCAATTATGAAAACACTTAAATCTACTATAGATATAAAATATACTATATGATGCTCCTTGCAGACTGTGGCATAGACAAGTTGCAGTATTGCTGTTTATGGAAAAAGCATTTACCTTCAGTTTTACAGACCATCTCTTATTGTTACTGAATGACAGGAGTGCAAAGGATGAGCAACAGCAACTACTGGTTGACTTTGTCTTCTAAAGGTGGTCTCAGAAGTCACTCGGAAGCACTGATACACTGCGGCACTGAGCATACAATTAGAGAGATCAGAGGTAAGCTGCTTTTTTTTTTTTTAATCATCATTTAAAAAGCAGCGTAATTATCTCCTTACAGATGAACTTTTGATGCTTCAGTAGCTTCAAGAAAAGTCCCCTAGACCTGTTCTCTAAACGCTGCTCATCTCTGATATGGTCTTTCCTGAGTTCAGATGCTAACAGCAATCCTGAATGCATACCCATGAAGTTATGCGCAACTTAATGGGAAAAGGAGAGAAAGCAGAAAATACAAACAGGAAAGGAAGACGGAGTACAACTGAAAAACAAATTTCAGCTTATTAGAACGAAAAAGATGACATTAACTGTCCACACCGTCAGCATGGATTTATCCTAGTTTTGTCAGCATTAAAGTCATTAAAACAAAGACGTGAAACAAGCAAAATGATGTGAACCTTGTTTTAAAGTACGTGCTAAAGTATCTGCTAAAATGAAAACAACTGTATGAAGTCTGATCGCCATGAAAACATTGACAAATCATGGAAGAAGAGGAAAGTAGTTTCAAGTGTACTTAAAAGCATCTCAATACATAATTAGCTCCTGCGCACTCCTCTTCTTTGCACACGTTTAGGGCCATTTTTAACCACCTGGACAGGAGGTATGACTGGGCACAGCAGAAACTACCTTTTTTAAGAGCTGGGCCCATGTAGGGCTGGGTGCTGTGCCTGTAAGGCCAGTGCCTATTGACTTTAAATGGGCTCTGGGTGGACCAGGACCCTTTTCAAATAGTGGGCACCAGTGGGCCACATGGGACAATGTCAACATAGGTCCTCCTCTGCCACAGGCGCTACTTCTAAAGCATGACTGATAACCAGCCTAGCAATGCTCAATTCCAAATCTGTGGGATTGGCCTAGGGAATGGCCGGGGTCCTCAGTCATCTCGGGGTACTTCTCTGAATATATGCTAATGCTGCCCAGAAGGCAGTGTCTACACTCCCAGCTGGAAGATGTAGTTGGATCCCAGATCCCAAAGTGAGTCTCCAGGCTTTCCAGTCTGAAACTCAGACGGTGTCCCCCCCCTGTCACGTAATGTATTTGCAAGCCAGGTTAAATAATCCATCGTAACAGATTTGTAATAGCACTCAGTTTGGCTAGGTCTGTGCTCATGAAAGAGCATGCAGAGCCATCTGTCATATATCCAAGTAGCATCATACTCTGTTTTAACAACTGGTTGCATTAGTAAGTCTTCAGGAAGGGAAGAATTTGACACAGCATTGTCTGAATCTGAATCAGATCAAGTATCGCCCCTGTCGTCTGGGTCTTTATATGAAGAAATTCCCTTTTCCACACCTTCCAGACGATGGTCAAGTTTTTCCCAGACAGATACTGCTACATGCGGGACTATGCATTGCTCTGGTTTCTCTACATTAGCCTGATGGCTTTTAACACAGGCCAGGGCTAAAGTCTTCTCCTCTATTGCAGCCCCAGTGTCCTGCAGGGTGTGGGCCAATTAGTTTCATAGGTAGGCAACTTGGGCTTGGGCTGCTTTCAAACGCTGCATCTCTAAGCATCTCCAAGGCAATGAGCTAAGGAGATATAAGCAGGGTAACTCTCTCTTTGTGTTTCTGTCTTTCTGATTTTCTCTAATCAAAGTAGAATCTGACATCTGCGGGCAGGGCAAGGTCCTAAAATAATCAACTAAGGCATCCACTACAGGGTCAGGGTTGGTCATGATGCAGTGTACCATATCCCACTTCTGACACCAGAGTGTAAGGGCTTAAGGCAGCCCTGCCAAGTTATAGGTTCAGGATATGGTAACAGACACCAGACCAACAGCTTCAGGGACAAAGAGTTTAAATAACAGTACAGGAAGAAATACAGATCAGTAGTACAATTATCTGGGTCGTAACAACAGCAAGTCAAGTAATTCACCAAGACTGGGCTGGACCTAACATGCAGGCATGCAAAGACTTACATGACCATGGCTGTCAGGCAGGCAGCAGCTCTTCTCCAGACAAGTGACCCGGACCAGCCAACGACCTCGGGGAATGCAAATTCCTTGGTTGGACTGTCCTTTTTATCATCGAGCCACAGAAGCACTATTTGGACTTGTTAACCAAAAATTGCACCCCACCTCTGCTCCCCCTCTGTGCCAGCTCTGTCCCTGGTGTGCATGGGGCCTAGGAATCCTGTACAAGGCAATACCGCCCCTCATTGCTTTGTGGGCATGGGCCTGGAAGTATCGTATAAGGCAATACGAGCCTCACAGCTCCGTTGTATGCACTGTCTCCAGAAATACCGTATTAGGCAATACTAGCCTTACAAGCACCCAGTTAGTCTTGCAAAGGCAAAACTGACTGTTTATGTATGGAAGTCACTACACAGAATACAAAAATGGATACACAGGGTACTCTGAACTGCATGAATATTCTTAGCACACATGAAAAACGTAAATACAGGCTCAGAAGCAGAAAAAGCTCTTGGTTTAATCTAAGAATGACCACAAACGTAGGGCTGACAGTGAGCAGACTAAATTTATACAGTAGGTTAACGACTAAGGAGAAGCCCAATAAAACAAAACAACAGTAGTACAGAAGAAGAAAGAAATTGAAAGAAGAAGTATAGAAAGAAAGCATGAAGACTACGTTGAAAGATGAAGAAAGTGGTACTGGTTTTTTGGTGGGTTGTTTTTTTTTTTTTTGAAAGAAATAAAAATCTTCTAATAATGCCCAAGTTAATGAACTATTAGAATAGCATTTGGCAGCAGGCCTCTGAAAGACTGTTTCAGCTTGCCAAAGTGTGAGTACCTTTTAAAGGTGAAAAATAACTGAAACTGGGAACACCGCTGGACCAATCCACTCTCAAGTCTCATGCTCCTTTCACTTATGTATTTAAATTACAATTTTACATTCTCCAGCTGCCCAGTTGTTTGTATGAATATATCCTGCTCTCTTGCACCGTGCATATAGAAGTTCAACAAATACTTACAAAATCTTCCAATATATTTGGAGACATCTATTCTCAATTTATTTATTTTACGCAAACTGGAAGATTGATTAATTAATATTACACTGGTTTCTCTCATACATTTTACTGTGTTGAGAAAGCTTTAAATGTAAACTGTATATTTAAACTGTCTGCTGTGCTATTTTAAACCTACAAACAACTTATATGTGGTCCTTTGTTTCAAACTTAGTTTTGAACTTAACCATGTTCTTAAATATCAACTGCACGCTACTGTAAAAAAATAATTCAGTCAAAAACAGGCTGGTGAATAATGTTATGACATTTGCTAAGACAAGGAAATACTGAAACCAACATAATTTCCTCTTATTTTTCCACTGCTAGCTGCACAGCATGACTAACAACTTCAGGAGCTTGTTGCGCCACCTTCTTCCTCATCTTTATATTGTAGGCACGCTGCTGGTTCTAGTGGTTACAGCTGATGTTTCAACAACCACAGCTAAAAAAAAAATCAAAAGGAAGAGAATATTTAGTGCTAAGTGTACCTTTCCTTCCATAAACTACAAAGTAAAAACAGTACTGTAATGATACATTGTATATAGATAGCTTTTCCTCTATCATAAAAACAGCAAGTAATGCATGAAATAACTACCTCTATCACATTACTCGACTTGCTCAATCAGTTGAGGTTTTTCCTGCCAAAGGAATATGGTCCCAAAGCTGTAGCAACTGCTCTCCAACTTGTGGTTCCAGCTCCTAAAAACGAGCAGGAAATTAGAGAAGTTATTTGCACTGCTACTATTGAACATATAGAGACTATTTATAACAAAATTGTTAGATGAAGTTACTGGTGATGGCTTTCAGTCTTTCTGAAAGAGCTCATTCCTTTTGCTCTTGAGACATACATTAGAACTCCCTGCACAGGAAGGTTTTTTCACTAAGGCTCAAGAGGAGATAAAAACTTTCATAAGCAACCCTGGCCTACAGGTTGTTTGGGGTTTTTTTTTTTCATTCACAGTAAGATGTCAGTTCTTAAGAAGAGAGTTCTGAGTGAGCACACCACCACCATATACAAGAACATATGCACCATATACTTTTTACCTTCCACAGGTCACTTACTTATTAACTAAAGATCATGTTTCTCTACATCTTTTAAGTTTAATTCTGTCAAGCGTGGTGGATAATGTGGAAAGGTAGGTCACAGGTAATACAGTGGCTCTTGGTGGAATCGTAGACATCAATATAAACCAGTTGTTTTTAAGATCATTAAGACTCCTTAGGTCTTAAGAGCCACTTACAACAGAAGCACTGTTAACTCCATCACGTGCTACGTTCCTTTTCTCATTCTTACAGTATGTTCCTTTCCTCATTCTAACAACTGGAGAGGTTTTGAGGAAGAAGATGATACAAAAAGTTTAGCTCTAGCATCTCGTATCAAGGAGATATTTTGGGAGGGGACTGGGGAGAACGCAGTAACTGCCACAGAGAACTCCTGTGCCAATTCTCTTCCAGCTTTTTGTAGTTGCATTTAGCTTTAACAGATTGGAGAACTGTCCTAAGCTTTATCCTACCTCAAATCTCAAGATTCTCTTCAGCCTTTACAGGAATCTCAAAGGTATAATTATGAACAGTTACTTGGGTGTGGCAGACTATCTCAGGGAACAAATCTGAACCAAACGGGGAACAAATTTCCAGAACCAAAATTATAAATTCCAAAAAGCTTTTATTCTTGGAAGCATCCAACTTTAAAACTTTTTTTTAAATGCATATTAAACAAGAAACTGCTCTGATTTTATCAAAAAGCCTCCATTACTTCAACAGTAATGCATTAGTAGAATGTACAATGTGCATCAATGAACTGTGATTCAGATTAGCAGATATATGAGGACAGTTGAGACAAATGACAAGGCTAAACAAGCTAATACCAATACACAGGACTACCAAGTAAAGACGACTTTAGAAGAGAATAACATTACCTGGCCGTCTCTGCTTATTTGTACTCTCTTATTGTCGTTCCAAGGGTTGAGCAAATGGTGTGCAAACTGAAAAGGAATGCTTTCTTTGCAGATCCACTCCACCTTAAATACACCTCCGAAACCAGCAGATCCCCAGTCTTGACTTTTCTCGCACCCTATCTCTGAAGCCATTCTAGCAAAACCCTGGAGCAAAAATTGAAATATGAAAGACAGAATTAGAACATATCTGCTTATGTTGGATTTAAATGAATGATTGGACTTCATACGAAACTTTCAAATTAGTTTCAAAGTGATTCATACACTTTCCCCCATGAAGCTGGATCTTGTAAAATGTTTACTCTAGAAAGTTAAAAGAAGTATCATTTTTTTTTTCCCACTTCAAATATGCCTTCTAGAGTTTGACCACAGAGAATGTCTCTCAATTAATCTCTCACAATTACCATTAAAAGTTTTTTTAAGCTTTGTAACAGAGGCTGAAAAGGTGTTGTAAAAACATTTTAAGTGTAAGGAATCAAGATGAATGTTCTACTACATAATAGTCCATTAGCTATTCCTTGTTAGTTGTAAATATTTTTTGCAGAAATCCATTCCTTCCCATGTTCCCTGTATGTTAACAAACTTTCACACAGAATTAAGAGAGTGTAGCTGTTCTTCAAAGAAAGAAGTCAAAGTTGCTTTTAGTTCCTTCTTCAATGAAGCGGGAAGAAATTCCAACAAGACAAGTATTCAGAAAGAAAATGAAAGAATTTCATTTCTTATTCAAAGTTGCTTCTAACCTATTTAAGGACACCCCTACTTGTCCACACACCAAACAAAACAAAAAAACCCCAAACCCACCACACACCCAACTTACCAACTCTTCAGGCAAATTTATGCCAGTTATGACTTAGGAGGCCAAGAGATGCAGTGCACTACCTAAGTTACCAGCACACACTACTGTTGTAAGACATGCAGTCCTAGATAGCTCAAGCCAGACTTAAATGGAAATTAATAAAAGGAACAGAGGAAAAATAAAGGTGGAAAGTAAAGAGACACTTGGTAAAAGAGAATATTAATAGGAATGTTAATCTCACATTCCCATGAATGTCCAGCGCATTGTCAAAACTGGAAGGGCAAGCAACATCCGCCACCTAAACTCCTGACTTCAGCACGTCTTCCCCTCCCAGCTTTCTCATCTAAGAGCATCAGCCCATTTTCAGTATCAAATGGCATGCTGAAAATTGCTTTCCAATATTACATCTGCATTTGCCAAATCATCCTACGTGTATCTTACCATAATCCTTCAGTGGTATCACCAAGACAGCTGTATTTGGCCTAGTTCATTAGATTTTAAGTTTAGCTGACTTTTATGAATAGTTCTATATAAAGAGGTAAGTTGAACTTTCTTTACCTGGAACAAATGAGTTTAGCCCTCTCTACAACACAGCTAACCTGCAACTTGGCACTACCAGGTCGAGTCTTTAACTTCAAATTGGCTACAAATTTGTCACCAAATTGTTGACAAATACCTTGCTAAACTTGAAGTCAACACATAGCTCTGGAAGAATCATGGCCATGACTTTCCAGCTTCCTAACTTTTAGAAACTACAGTTCAGGCAAAACAGATTTTACTAAAATTTGTAATAAAGACATCTGAGTTTCCTGGCTTTAGAAAGCTGTGACTTGATTATAACTGCTTGTTCACTTACAATATTTATTTTGGCATGCAGAGAAAAAAGTAGCAATCCCCTGCTTTGTTTGGATTTTGTTGTTCGTTTGTTTTGTTGTTGTTTTAAAGGATTAATGTCAGGTATAAACGTTATTCTGACTCAACATGTTTGGAGGCAATTCAGTCTTAGCCTTTGAGTGACAAACTCAAGTTAGCTAAAAGGGCATATTTCAGGGAAGAATGAAGTACTCTTTCCTCAGCAACCAGATACATTTGCTTGCTACTCTACTTATTAGAAGGTCAGAAGTCATAAGGAAAAACCTCCATACTACACAGTCATTTGCTGTGCTCTCCTAAACCATCAACCAAAGCTAATATTTAGTTATCAACTAAGGACTCACCTGAAAGTGTCCAGACCCTTGAACAGAAAATATTAAGTAAACCATGCTGCTCTCCCAAAAGGCTCTATTTAGTTTTCGTTCATTACTTGGTGTAGTAGACCATATACCCTTCTGTTGAGAAATATCAATGTTTTGCAAGTTGCTACTTTTCATTATAAAGTACCGAACTGGCATATTTGGTCTTGGTGAAGGAGATTTGGAACCCTGGAAAAATTAAATTAAATTAAGCTACAATAAAATAAACCAGGCTTTAGTTCTGAAGTTTTACACACATGAAGACAGAAATCCCTTGACTGCGCTCCTACCCTCCTCCCCCAGATTCTGAAAGAAACACAGAATCTATCAGCTGGTATTGTCTGAATTGGTTTTAAAATGTATTTCACATCTATTTTACATTTTTTAAGCACTTTCCAAAATAATAATTCATTCATGAGGGGCAACAAAGAAGTAGAGCAGAACAGGCATAAATAGTCTAGTGATTAATTACAATTCTTTGAAGTCTGACACACCTTCAGATGACACAAAATTAATCATTCCAGACCGCAGCCTGAAGCACACTAGTCACATTTCCAGCTTCAGGAAACATAAGTTTTCTCTCTTTTACATTGGCTGAATTTAAAAACTGAAAGACTTAAGAGGAATTATTAAATCCTCCAATGAGTCCATGCCTGGAAGAACAATGGGGTTTCCTCTCAGTGATCTGTTTAATATTACCACAGCTTACTATTCAAGTACATAGGGAGAATTATGCCAATAACGTCATTAAAAATATGTGCTTTGTTAAAATAACCATCCTAAAAAAAGCAAGCAGTCATAGTAAGGTATATAACACAAAACTTAAAGAGAATCAGTATCAACATATGCTATTACAGAAACAGAGGAAGGCAAAATCCAAAGAATTCAGAAGAGCATGTACTGTATACTAGTTTAGAAAAAAAAAAAATTAATACACCTTCACTGGTTATTATATCACGTTTAAAAAAAAAATCTGATTTTTTTCTACTTTGGATAGCTTTAACTCGGCAGTCTGCAAAGAATAGTATTTTTACTGTATTAAACTAGCGTAACAAGGATATTTAGTCTTGATTTTAAGTTCCAGAAAGAAATAAGTATTATGCAGCTGTTAAAAATTAAAATTTAAGTTAGGTTCTTAATTTATCAATATAATACCTGATAGTTGCTGAAAGACATCAGCAAAATTATTTCTGAAATTCTATTAATTTTGAAGAGTGGGGTAATTTGTTTATGAGAACTCTACCTTTCCAGATATTGGAGAGGAAGGACTAGCACAGGGGCTAGGATAGCTACTGCTGTCTGTAGACTTCACTGATGATTGATCTGACCTGTCATCTGAAGTTCGTTTGGAGTGCAGAATGTTTTTTTCTTTGTACTTCTTTGGCTGGTGAAGTGCGGGAGGCGTAGATTTCATTAAAACTCTAAAAAGTAAAGGTAGATACAGGACATACCAGGAGTTTCATAAGCGGTCACAGAACAATTTGTATCGACATATCAGCCTATTGCATGACTATATATATTACAGTAATTCCAAAACATATTAAACACTAACTAAAAAAAATACTGATCATGCATTGGTTTTGAATGCTAGGGTTAAACCTCTTCTGCTACTTCTTCCCAGAGACCACAATTCATGGACAACATTCCTGACTGCTCTCTCAAACAGCAGACACACATATGAAATACTTCTCAATGAAATCACAACTACAATGCAGCATAGGACAGTATCAATTATTTCAACTGTATTTCTGTTGTTTCTTCCTTTTTATTACTAGCAGAAATTCAAGTGATGCTTTTATAGCTAAATAAATTACAACCTACAGTCTCTAGAAGATCTCAAAAGCTTACTTTTCAGTATTAGAGGAGTCATCAGAGAATTCAGTTTCTGCTGAGCTTTTTCTACTGTTGGTTGACCTCCATGTAGATGCTAAAGGAAGTTCTTCAGAAGTCATAGGTCTTGGTCTCTGACCAATTCCTGAAGGCTGCTGCAAACCTGCAGACTGTTCTTCAGTACTTAAAACAGCTATAATTGCTCTTACAGTTGTTTCATCAACCTGAGACCACGGTTTAGAAGGAGCTCGCATACGACGCAGAAATAAGCTATGCCACTTCTGTCTGAGTTGCAACAGCAAACCAGCAGCCTGTAATGAATTTCAATTCTGTTAAAGACTAATAAAAATTAGATCAGACAGGTAAGGGTACCCTAAGTCTTTTCCTATCAGGCAGCATCTGGCATTCTGAAATGAACAGGGTCCAAACTGAAAGGCAAGACTAAAGTGCCAGGGAGGGGGAGAAAACCCCACATTTAAACTAAGCTGTTAAGTTATCTTTTCTTTCCTCGGGTGCAAGATCATTTTTAAAATATTTTATTTCATTTAGCTCTGCACCAAACTTAAAATTGTATTGTAAACCCACAGGATTTTTTTATTTTTCACTTTTAAAAAGATAAAATAAAAAAAAAAAATCTTTTCATGCTTTATGCCCTTCCTCTCAATTCAGTCTGTATTCATGCACTCTTCATTCATACCTGAGGGGAAAGAAGTCTAAGTAACATATTTTTCTTACGCAGACTTCTGCTCAAATGAGATGACTGAATTTAGAAGACTATAGTCTAATTCCCATGTTATCAGAAACATTTCCATTAAAAAAAAAAATTAAAAATAAAATAAAATAAAAAAAATCACGCTTTTGAACATCTCTGGAAAGGACAGTATTATTATTACATCTGATAAGTCCAAGTGTTTCATAACCCATAAACTACTTTGCCTCCTACCACAGCCTGAGCTTCTCAAGGACCTGAAGACTTCTACCTTCAAAAGGTTTTCTTCTTTTTCTAAAATCTGACAGCAACTTTCTTTCAGCAACTCCAACTTCAAGTGCTCCAATTTGACCAAACTTTAGTCATCCTCTCAGAGAAGGAAATACACAATATGCTATTGTGAATGTTCACTCAACTCCTGCTCAGATTTTGGCTAACCCCGCTCATACTGAGGCTTGATGTGTGCTGGGAGCAGTGCCATTAGGTCAAAGTGAGAGCACCACGTAGGCAGGCCAGAAAAAGCTGAAGGGCCATTATGCAGTTTGCTATCTCCAGCAGCCATTATCTTTTGTCTGGCAGTTTTGTCAGAATCTGCTAACTTATGGAAATGCACCAAACCTCCAAGCTGGAAGGTATAAAACATCAGCTTACCCAAAAAGCTTTTGAAGTGGATCCAACAGCAGCTGGACTGCTGAGGCTTTCCTGCTTCCCGGTGTGATACAGGGGATGCCCACACCGTGACAGAGGAAGAAGGGTGAGCGCTCTCGCCGTCAGCTAGGTAACTAATTCTTTTTTTCTTTTTGCTCATAGGTGCACGAATTGAGAGTTACAGGTTATAAGTTACAAAACCTTGACTTGAATGGTGAATAAGTGAATTCACACGATAGACAAGTCTGGGCAAAAGGGGATTGAGCCCCTGTTTGTTTGTTGTATTTCTTAATAAGCTCATGAAATAAAGGTTAAATCACAGAGTACATCATCCTGTAAATCTGAGAGACCTAAACGGACTGTGACAGCCATTCTTACAGGAAATTCTTGGTTACCCAAATGTTTCAGAAATCTTTTTAGGAAGATAGAACATAAATATACTTCTACAAGAAACAAGCATCAAAGTGATACATTACTTACTTCAGGGTCCAGTTTGAGATGGAGCCATTCATCTAGCTTCAGTAGTGCCAAATTAGCAGTTGTTTTGTCCTCCATCTCACTATCACTGTTATCATTAGATACCCCATCCCCTGTATAAAAGGTGCATTAACATTTCTACATTATTTCCACTTACATACAAAAAACTGAACACTACTGTATTGCCAGCAATAAACCCATTTTCCTTCTAAATTTTATCTTAAAATGTAAACATTTGTAAAACCACTTTTTATTTTCTGCAAATACACCTCAGTGAAAAGTCTTTGCTTCAGTTAGCAGAACTCAAGTATCCAGACCTGCTGAGGGCCCTGCTATGTAAGCTATGATCTGACTCACTCATGTACCTTCATCAGTACCAACAAGCTATTATCAAACTTTTGCCTGAAGCTGTTTGAAAAACCACACATTACTCTATGATTTATTTCCTAGTAAAACAGCAGATTTAAAGATCCATTAAGAAAAAAATAAATTATATATACATATGGATTTTAAGTAGGATTCTATTTTTTTTTTTAAAGTGCAATTCAATCAGCATAAACACTGTTTTAAGGGTAACAGTTTAAGAGCAAGACAGGAAAGCTTCAAAAATAACTTGGACTCTTACTTTGATTCAAACTAATATTTCTAGAGAACTGGCAGCAGGATAGATTATTTTTGCTTCTATTCCTACAGCACTCCATTTCAATTAAAAAAAAAAAGGAAATTTATATATATTCCCTATTACTTCTAGTTAATAGTATAGCTAATTGCCGTTAAAAGTTATCAGTAGAAAATAATCTTTAAAATGAATGTTTCAGCTGGAAGCACTATGAGTATTTGCCATATTGATAGTTTCTAAATTATTATTCAGTTTGAATAATCTGGTTCGAAGTATCAAATAAACTAGTCTGTAGAAAAAACATACATACTACACTTTTCAGCATTATTCCTGTCATTAGACATTCTGTTTGCATTTTTTATTTCTTTACAAACTATACTGTAATTCCTGAGATTTCAGAACTATGTAAGTGTAATTTATGGATATGAATCTATAATGATTCACAAAACTGAGACATTTATTACAGAGCCTATAAACTATTCTTAAACAGCTACAGGAACTATAGCTCTGTCGTTTTAAGAATTAGCCAATATATGTATTAAATATTCTTGAAAAATCAGCCTTCCATATCACATACTAGTATCTACCAATGGAAACATTCCAAATCCAAACCCCACTATACCTCGAAAGGATGAAGGTTCCTGCAAAGCATTACTTGGTAATCTAGCTGGTCCACAGAAGAGTGACACAGTGACAGGTGTTACAACAGAACAGCATCTGATATTTGCTATCCTGTGAGCTCTCGTCATTTCATCATATATAAGCCAGTCTGTAGGGAGTGCCTGAATGGCTGCAGCTTGCCCATTTGCCGGCGGAATCTGTGCAAGAGCAAGTAAGACTAGGCTAGTTTACACTCTATTTGTAATTAAAATAAATTTTAACATATTTCTTATTTTATATATGTAGAAATAAATACATATTTATATGCACATAAACTTATATATACAAATAAAAAAGTGAGAGAGAATTCAACCAGACTCACAGATTATCCTACCACCTTGAAACAAAATACTTGCTTTAAAAAAGGATCTCAAAAAAAAATCAGTTTCAGAGCAGAACTTCTTCCTGCTATTATGAGCAGGGATTGTTACATCTTTAAAACAGTTTCGTAACTAGGGTTTTTTTACCATTTTGCCTCGTTCCACCTAGAAGGAGGACTAACTGAAATAAGTTTTGATGAAATAATATTGGAAAAATAAACTAACTCAAATTCTTTATTTTATCAACTGCCAGGAAAAGTATTTTCTAAAAATGCAGTGTTTAACGCACATGCTGCTCTTAAAGTACTGACAACTATGAAGAGACATTTCTAAAACGTTTGATATAGTGCTCTTTTTTGTGAACTATAAATTCAAAGTGATTTTACCTTTTTATACTGAGGTTGACTAAGAACAGAGGTAGGATGAAATCGCACTTTCTTCTCCTTTGGTCCAGTCAAAACCAAGCTTTCTCTGTCTACATGCACTAGATTGGGATACATCCCAGCCACTAAGGCAGCTTTAACTACAGCCCAGTTTTCAGAGTTAGTATTAACATCTCTAATATCAGCTCCTCCTCTGGCTCTAACAAAACCTGAAGAAAGAAGAGGACAAAAATGTGTTATATTTGCTTGTATTTAAGATATACCATTTTGCCTCTCAAAAGGAATTGGGGGGGGGGGGGAAGTGAAATAAACTGCAAATTTGTTGCATTTTTCACCACTGCCAACCCTAACAGCACCAAGAAGAAACCATTGTACTGAAATCCTTCCTGATAAGGAGTTTTATACTAACAGAGAATAGAATTACTTTTTACAACCCAAAGACATTTCCTACGGAAATAATTCATTAGAACGTAAAAATCCAAGGAAACATATCTCACACTGAAAGCCAGTGGCATGTGGAACAATCAGGGCACTTTCAGTTAGATCAGCTGTTCCCCAGCCACACTTCCTCACTCTAGCATCTGCACCATGCCCAGCATGAATGTGTACTGGTCTGTTTCAAATTAATGAAAATGACACCAGTGAACACTATTCTTGTTACAATTTGTATACACTTGTACTAGGTATACACTTGACTCCAAAACTATGTTAAAATTTTTTCCAAGCTATTTACCTGAGGCTCTAAGCTGGCCAAGCAACTGTGTTCTCATTCCTATGATGATTTCCATCGTGGCTTGAGAAAGGAAGTTCTTTTCACAGAAGGCTCTCTCCCAGCCATCACTGCGTGCCTTCTGCCATGCCTGTAAAGAATTTTTTTTTTACATTTGCCTATTAATTAGCTAAAATAAAAAAAAATGCACCTTTTTTAAAAAATGACATTTACATCAGTAAAATGAAGGCAAAAACCATTCTGAAAGAAGGGAAATGTATCAAACCAGATTTTTTTTCTCCTGGTTAAGTACAAGATTCTCTTTACCCATTCCCTAAATTTAAAATAATGATCTTAACATAATGATCTTTATAATAACTTAATATAATGATCTTATAATAACATAATGATCATTATGTTAGTTATCAGCATAGCAGGATATAAAGTGGCATCTTGTTGGAACATTCAGAATTTAACCAGGTTTGAAAATATAAGCAAAAAATCTGACAAAAAGTGTTCCCTCACAAATTTATGAGTCCAATATACAGGAAGGCCACTAGGCAAAAATGAAGTTTCTTCTCTAAAGACTTAATCGTAGTCTATCATTCTACATCCAACTTGATTGGTACATTATTTACTTTGATATGTAATCTATTGCAATTAGTACTCTTTCTGAAGATGAAATAATACCTGGAAAGCCCTGAGAAGCGCCATATGGTCACTAAATGTTCCTGCAGTAAAACGTTTTCTACACAGCATGGCTGCACGCTTTTGAGAGGCCAGTGTAGGTAGGACGAAAGGGTCTCGATATGCAAGAGTGCAAGCAATAGTAAGAATAGGATCCAGGCACTTCAGAACAACAGCACACAACACCATTTTACCAAGGTGTGGCTCTACTGGTAATTCAGTGAGATGATAACCAAGTTCAGTGAGGTCTTCCCAAGGGTCCATGGCATCTATTGTCTGTTTAAGGAAAAAAAAAAAAAAGGGGGGGGGGGGGGGAGGGGGAAAGTGGACAAAATTAATTTGCAATAAAAGCAGAAAGGATGTGAATACTGGACATTAACTAGACTTGTTCCCAAACACTAAGAAAGCAAGTCAAACTCTTAACAGTTTGAGATGAGATTTTTAAGCACTCTCTTCCCTTAACATGGAAAAATACATCCATGCACACAAAATTAAAATAGACAACACACAAAAATTCAAAGCATCCTTAAGTAACTAAACAACAATCTCAGTACAAACAAAACTCAGTAAGATATGTTGCCACACCACAAATATAGAATCAAATACAATTCCCATCTAAATGTATTCCTCTGCTGACCTTAAGCATTTGCACAGCATTTCTCACAATTAAAGCTGGTGGAGGATCAGGAGCTTTCATAAGAAAGTCAACAATTGGACAATTAATTGGAGCCAGAAGTTTTGTGTGTAAACAAAGCTCCTGCAAGTTAAAAAGCAAAAAAAGATTGTTAAGATTGAGGGGGGGGGGGGGGGGGGGGATCCACAGAGGTTTGAGTTCATAGTATGGTTCGATGATAAAAAACATTTTTTAAAAGTTATAATTTCTAACTGAACGTGCACCTGAAGTGGCATTCTTAGAAGTTCTGGAGTCTGAAATTCCAACATATTCTGAAATCGGAGCCTGCTGAAGAGACGAAAACAGACTCCAGGCTGACAGCGTCCAGCCCTTGAAAATAAAATATGGTAAGTTGTTGAAAATTAGAATTTCTTAAAAAAAAAAAAAAAAAAAAAAAAAACAAAACATCACCACCACACACGCGCACACACACTTAGAATGGAAATGTAGAAGCAGGTCTAAGAAAAAGATAGTTTTGTCATTAAGTGTAAGTCCCACACATGAGGTGAGAGTTTTCCAGTACATGGATTATTTTTGATAGTATGTAAATTTGTTACTATAATTTTACCCTAACCCTGAAAGACCTGGAGAAAAAAAAATAAAGCCTATCTAAAAACAAAGTGATGTGGGTTTCTTGCTAACCTAAGATCAATCCAAATCTCAACTGTCCTTTGCTGTAAGAAATGTAAGTCGTAAACTTCATTTCTTCCTCTTCACATACCACAGATAGTTGGAAGTTACTCTGGGAGTAAAAGGTAGAATGAAGACCAAACAACTTGTGAGTGAGGGGACAGAGACAGCAAATGCTCACATTCACGCTCAAATTCCTGCAGGTTAATGCCGATATCACATCACCAAACAGGCATTTGTTGCTACATATCCTCTTAGCCCTCACCCAGTGTTGGTAAGAATACGATAAAGGCCTGTTAAGACATGAGTAGTTTGGAGAAGGTCAATAAGGAATCACTACTCAATGTCTCTTTTAATATAGGGAAGAAGGGGCATCAATTAAAAACTAGCAATAGGCAGCCCTTTGCCCAGAGATAAGTTGTGAAACACCTTATTGGACACTGTGGCTGCTGGTGCTACATGGGAGAAAGAGGAAGGAGAACAAGTTCTTGGGGGAAAAACAACCTAGACCTCATGCAAGCTTTGGGAAATTCCTGAGTGTCACTTTTCTACAACTTGGGAAATTACTCCAAGGAAATACATGCTGACCCTTACTCTTCTGCAGAGAATCACCATTGACCATTGTCCAACACAACAGTGGACTAGGCTAGTAACGTTACCCAGTGTGGCTGCTATTATGTTGTGTACTTTATCCTTAACATACAGGACAGTGGATATCTGCAAAATAAAATTCAGTATGAAGCATTTATTACCTGCCTTTTCTCTGGATAGCACTGGCTTTTGAAATCCACACCATTTTTAGCATTGTAACACAACTCAGTGCATCAAAAGACTTCTATAAAAGCAAAGCAAGGAACATAAAAAGAAGATTGAATAGGGTACATGAAATAAAAGTTACTAATGATTTAGATCATCAACAGAAGTTCTCTAGGAACAAAAAAAAAAAGCACCAGCAGCTTCTGAAATAAAGGTATGTTCTAAAACACTTAGTTTTGAGTGAATTTATGCTACCTCCTTCGCAGTATCTTTGTGCTACACAGTTCTCTAAAGTTTTCTAGTCAACAGGTAATTGTAAGTCAATAGAAGACATGGATTGTGTTTTGTGGTATCACAAACCAAGCAGAAATATGTTATTATTTTTAATAAAGTTTTTCTCTTTGTCTCACTTGGAAATTACATCCTTATTTTCCTACATTTGATGCAAAATTACAAAAAAAAATTGTATTACAATGGGAACTTCAGAAATTTGGTGTGCGTATCTCCTATGAAACCCAATTTTATTTTCTAAGCCATGTACTAGGTCTTAAACTGCCTCATTGTATCACTTTTCTTGAACAAGTAATTAGGGAATGGGCATTCAACACATCAAAAGCAATGCTTAAAAATTTAATGGATTATTGGGCTAGACACAATAGTAGGACAAAGGGAACTCCCAGTGTTCTCCAAGTCTCAAGAAGATGGCAGTCTAAACTGATGGACTTGTTTTAAAAAAAATCAAACAGAAATACTAAATTAACAACAACAAAAAAAAGATACAGATATATCAATATATCAACCTGTAATAGCTTTTACAGGGTTTTTAAACAGCCAGCTATTTACAGGTTTTGTCATAAAACAAATGGATGTCAAAACTCAGTGAGGTTTGTTGCTTGACATGCACTAGCTCTCAGCCTACTACAAAAAAAAAATAGTTTTCCAAAATTTATGTATTATGTATTTTAAAATAACACTAGGAAGTTTACTGCCCAAAGAAAGTTAAGCCAATCATACCTCTTTCATCTTGCCTGAGTCAATAACAAATACAACATCATTGACCGTTATGCTGGTTTCTGCAATATTAGTAGAAAGAATCTGAAATAAAAAAAAAAAACCCACCATAGTAACTGTAAAAGCAAAGACAAAATAGATCGATATAATATCTGACAAAGTCCTCTGATACTTGCTATTTTGCGGACGCCAGAAGGTGGACTTTTAAGCACCTTCTTCTGATCCAAAGTCTGCATATTTGAATGAAGCATGAAAACTTGGTATCTAATGCAAGACAAAGAACATTTTAGGGATCTTTAAAAGAAGCAATAAAAACTCAGGACAACCACAGAACTAGAGGTTTTACCTGTGAGCATTATCAGCAAATCTCTTGTCATCAAAAAGAATACGGTCCCTCAGGCTAACTATCTCATCATATCCAGGAAGAAATATTAAAATCGCTCCTAAAAAAGAATTTGGTTTGCAGAGTTAAAGAGAAAATTCACTTCAAATATATGTCAGTACTGCATATACTAGCACTCGGAAGGTTTTACCTATTTGGTATTACTGAAAAAAGAGCATCAGCATCAGAAGTTGAATCCACAGCAATTTATTGGGAGTGTGTGTATGTACCTACCAGCATCACAACTATGACAGATGTTATAAAGTAAGTGCATAATCAGGTCCAGATCCACTTTTTCATCATCAAAACTGTGATGATAAGCTTTCAACAGTTCTCTGTCCTCTGCACTAAGGTCACTATCACTTGTTTGGACCAGGGAACTTTCATCGAGATTTCCAAATTCCACTGAAGCGCTAAAATATACAAATACACAGGCCAGAGTCAAGGTTGTTTGCTTCGGGTTTGCATTCAGCCAGCAATTCAAATTTAGATCAAGACCAACAAGACTACTTGTCTCAAATTTTAATTTAAAAGTGTAGCAGAACAGCATCTCCACAACACTATTACTGTTCACTGGTTTAAGTGTTAACCCCAGCAAAGCATGCAACTTCAATTTTTAGCGTTAACTTTAATTTTGTTATACTTCATTGAAATACAACCATAAGCAAATGTGACAGAACTTGAAGTATAAAGACGCTATTTGTTTATCTATTAAAGGAAAAATATTTAAGAGAAATGTATTTTCCAAAAACTTCCCTACCATAACCGTTAAGCAGGTATTACACTAACAAAAACTACACTAAGAGAAATCAAAATAATATAGGTATCTACAAAACTGTAACTAAACTATAAGTTAACCAAAAAACAATTCTTGAATGGCCTAGTGTACGTTACTCATATAAAGTTTCTTTAATATGGCTATCATGTATCAACAATATACAGATAAAAACACACAATAGATTTGTTTCCAAAATAAGCATCTGAAATTAAAATGGTACATCGTATAGAATCACCATCTCCTCTGCGTATTTCTTTAAGTTACTATAATCACATCCTGCCTAGATATATAATCATGATAGGAATGCCCATATCAAGATGATAAACACTAAGTCCTACACCACTAGAACTATATTTAAACTAGGAGCTGTACAAACATAATCACTATGATACTGAATACAAACAAACTTTTTTTTAAATAACTATGTTTTCAAAATATTCCTATTCTCAAATAAATCTTGCTATTCAGGCCAGATTTTAAAATATAAAAAGCTAAAAACTGTTCTGATTAAAAGAAGACAAAACATAAATTTGCCTTCACTGCGTTATACAACTGTTTCTGCAAAGTAGTTATAGCTTACCTGTAGGACTCCAACAGGTCAACAACCTCTGTCTGTCCAAAGCGCTTAGCCCAGTCCAAAGCCATCCTGAAAGAGTTGCATAAAAATCTTTATTAATTTCTCACTTCAAAAGATACATATGAATAGCACATTACATGAGGAGACAACTGACACCGCACTTTTCTATCAATTTCTGCCATTATTGTTTAATCAGTGCAGTTATTGTTGGATCTGCAATTTCCCATTTTAAAGTGCAAAACCAGGTGTAATAGCTGTATGATTTTTAGATAACTGCAATTCTTTACCAAGAAAGAATGCCAGTTTTACACAGAAGTACATGCAAACATGCAGAAGGAAATGAGGAGAAAGAATGCGCTGTTCCTTCAAAAACCACACACCAATGTGCAGAGATAAGCCATGCCTTTTTGCAGTACCCTTTACTAGCTCCTTTAAATCATCCCGAGAAGTCACACCCCAGACATTTTTTCTGCAAAATGCGTGAAAATACTGGGCTTTTTGATGTCTTACGGAAGTTCCCCTCCTCACAATGCAGTTCACTCTGTCTTCCTTTTAAACTGCATTCCTTCTCAAGTTTTTCAAGTAGTACCACCAAATATCAGACCCCTGGAATCCTAATTCTTATCTTTCCATATTACAATTATTTACTATAGTTCCCGTTTATATGAAGACACAATTCATGGCCACAAAAATCTAAATTTTTACAGATTCACAAATATTTTTACATGATACAACATATTCACAGATATAACACAGCAAAGATCTTTGCACCTGTAATACACTATTTTTAAATCCGATATAGGTTACTCTCTCAAAATAAGAATCACCAAACATTTTGGGTCTAATTCAATCAACCCAGTAAGAAAGATTCCAATTTTTCTCCTAACCAGTGTGTTAAATCAGACTCATTGAAACCAAGAGTGTATATCCCATATTCGAGACTGTTTAATTAAGAATTCAATTTAGAATTTACAGAAAACAATGTGATAAACAGAAGTTAGAAACTTCGACTGCCAGAACCTATTAGAGCTTACAGTAATCTGATAAGTTAGCAAATTAGTTTAGATGTTACAGAGATTTCTTTCTCATTTGTATATTGACAAATAAATAGATCTTTCAGTTTATCTGTCTGTCTTTACCAGCCATTGGATGACTTGCAGTGGATACTTGCTCCCATACTGATCAGTTGTTCTACTTGACTCAGAAAGCCTCTCCCTGAAGCAATCATTAGGGCAGTTGCACTGGTTTCACTGTGCCTATAATCAACTAAGTACCAAAAAAAAAAAAAAAAAAAAATCAGCAAAACCAATACAAACATTGTTACTTTTTCATCTAAATGTAGTATGACTTTCAAAACCCAGCCCAAAGAGAATTTGTTTCCTCTCTTCATCCCACCAGTCAGTATATATGAATTTAACACTATTTTAGAAACATATTATAACGTCTGTCAATATTTCAAAACAAGTACAAGAAGAAGTAACTACAAAAGTCATTAGTTCTGCTAACTCTATTCATTTTTTCAACAGGCATCAGAATTCAAAGGTAACAACATTTGAAATTGGAGATAAAGCAGACACAAATTCAAGTCATTTTGTGGGGGTTTTTTTTCCCTTATGTAGTAAGATGAGAAACGTACCACTGACATTTTCAGTTAAAATGAGATGGAACACCTGAGCAAAGGAATCAATATCTTTATGCAACCAGATGTCAGAAAGACAAGAATCCATTTCTTTTATTAGCCACGGTTCAAGGCAATTCGCATCTTTTTCAGTCTGAAGAGAAAAAACAGTATTGAAAGATTAATCTCTTCGAAGAGTTGTCTTTATTCTCATATATTAGACATGAAGAATTTGAACAGTTAGTTTTCCAAGTAACAACCAGAAATACAGCATTCAGGTATCAGTTAAAGCATTTATTGTGTCATATGCAAGTACTTTAAACAACGGCAATCTAGCCATTTGATCTAAACAAAAGTTATGTACAACCATCATAACTGAAAAGCACACTTCAGCTAGAGTAGTTCATGCTAATAAAAAAAAAATCATGTTTTAAAATATATTAATATCCTTCTGGAAACTCTACACGAGTAATATCTTTAGAAAACAGTTTGTAAAAGGGTAGAATAATATAACGCAGATTTAAACACCTCTTCCAACAAAAGGAAAAACTTACCAGTTGATTAAATACTGTGTCACCACCATCATCCAACAGATTATACTCTTCAGTTGTATTTGGGACAGATCTTTGTCTCTGAGATTCCCGTTTGCTATTATTTTCTCGAGCAGAACACCACTCAGTAAGAGTGCTTTGCTGTTTTTCTTCTAGAATGCATAAAGTATTTCCAAAAAAAGTTTTACAGTCATCTTAATTATTCACTGTTTTCAGTTACAAAAAATAGTAAGCCACAAAGTTTTACCTATTCAATCTCTTTTATTTAATCTAGAACGCTGTTACCAGTCCAATATAAATTATATTATTAAGGGCACCCAAAGTGCACCATTGCAAACATCTGCTATAAGAACAAGCTAAAAAAATAACATTTGGGTGCTTAACCCCCTAAGTCTCCAGTATTCCAACTTACTGCATTCAAACGAGCTTCCTAAGTAAGTATTTTCTACACAATTCTCAGTCCAGATCTTTATCCAGAAGTGAAACACTGAAGAGAAGTGATATAGCTCCTGCACGTAACAACTGATTTTTGTGTACAAGTAGAAGAAACAGTAGAAGACACCAGGGCCTTAACTGAACTTTTCTATCCACAGTGATCAGAGCTGAGCACCACGATAAACGTACAGTTAGGATTGCATGTTATAGCTTTGTTTTTTGCCTTTTTTTTTTTTAAATACACACTAGGATTATTATCTTCAGTTGTCAGGAAAACTTCTCAAACAATGTATCTACTTAAACAATTGAAAAACAACTATATTAAGTTCAAGTGTGTTAATGCTTCTGGGCTATATATATTAAATACATCCATGTCTGAAGAATGCAGTGAAAAATGTTACTAATAGGAACCACTTCTGTGCAAGATGTATAAAATCGTGCCCTCTTTTGGATGCATATTAAAGTGCAGCCATTAAAGTCAGCACATAGTATCTTCTGCTTCTTCAGTTTTCATGTGGGCAAAGCCCCCAATTATATACAATTCTACTCCATAATAATTAGAAAAAATATAACATTTATCAACTGAAAGCAAAAGGAATGCAACCATTAAAAGAAAGTGAAAATATTTTTTTAAAGTTACATAATCTACTTCAATAATGTAAACACTGAGAGCTTAAAGATACTTGCTGTCATCTAATGTCTCATTTAATATTCTGACACTGAAATTTTAACAGAGAATCATCCTATTTAGTTGTTCAATCAATAAGACTCATTGCCAGCCCTAACAATTAAGAAGTCCACGAACCTCGCTGCTTCTCTTTTTTGTACTTTACCATCTCTTTGTTTGTATACCCAGTGCTTCGTAAAATGTCCTCCAAAAACATCTCTTTAACTTCAAAAGGTCTTCCTTGTACTGAAAGTATAAATAATTCATAAAATATTAGATATTCCCTAGCTTAATTTACAATCTTAATTTTAAAAAAAGCATTTTTATAGACACAAAAAGGTGATTAAACATTATTAGGGCCTGATTTAAGGAATTATTACTTTACTTGAAAAGTCTTATAAAAGTACCTTCACTGGAGTTTATTTTCTTAAGATTATTGGGCCACAAAACAAAACGACATTTCAAAAGGGAAATGCTAGCTGGGTACCTTGTTTCTCATTAACCTCTTCAATTCTATTAAGTGTTATAGCAAGAGATGCTCCTAAGATTGACAGTTATTAATTGCAATTTTATCAAAATGAGAAAAAGAAAATAGCCATTTTTGTTTAGGGTTACAAAAAAAAATTCACTGTTAAGACTGCCACCTGGATTACAAAATATAACAGCAACTAACACAGCTTTAATGCAAGATCCCACAAGCAGATTGCCACCTTTGTAATTACTACTTTTTTTTCCATGAGAAGTATATAAGGAGATGGACTTCTCTCAATTTCCTCAGTGACTTCAGCCAATCTGGCTTTCTTTACTGAATACTTCCTGATAAATGAAACATTCCAATGGTCTTTATCTCCTAATAATTTACCCTGATTTCTTTTTCAATATCACTGTTTTCTAGACCTTATTTATGGACATTAAAGGACTCTTTTTCACAGGAAGAATTAAAATCTCTAGATTTTAATTTCCAGTCCCTCAGCAGACATTTGCCATTGTTGAGTTTAAATCACCTAGGACTTTTCTTCAGAAAGAACAAGCTACAATTCACATAATTTTAGAAGCTGCCATGGAGGAAGTCTTCCACCACTAATCACAAACTCTGTGTACTGCAGGAACCCACAACCACAAAATGTTGGTTTCTGTGGTCAGGATTTTGTCAGCTGTATTGTTGAAAGAGGATCAAATCTTTTTCATGACATTAACAAACAAAGTATCTAAACCCTCTTCTTTTAATTCTTAAATTCTCAAAAATGGAAAAAGGAAAGTGTCTTTTCAATTGTGATTAACCTGTGAAGACTAGTATGTAATAACCACTGAGGTAAACTGGAGAAAGAGATCGTCACCAGTATTTCCTGAATAAACATAGTGATCTAAATGAACAGGAAGCTACAAGAAGAATAAACTGGAAAGCCACACAACAATTATAACTGAAGTTTCCCCTCTCAAAAAAAAATTTGGAAAACACTGAAATCATGTGTAAATTCCAGATTCCTGCCTCCAACAAGCTGCAAGCCTTATTTTATTAGGCAGAAATTCAGAACTGGGAACTAGAAATAAACACTTCTATCTGTTAAAAAAAAAAAAAAGATTTCTTTTTCAGGAACATTCACTAAAACAAACCCATGATTTGTAGTGAAGATTTTAAAGAAAGTGATCCTACCCATGTCCTGGGACTGTCAAGCTTCTTAAAAAAAGGCTGACATGCAGACAGTCTACTTGATTGTTTTGAAAAGGAAGCATTTCTCTTAAAAACTTCTTTTCAAAACACATTATACTTAGACATCACTGTTGAAAAAGGAAGAGGACTGCGAGGTGCCGGAAGAGGTCACCGATGCAGAAAACTTGCTAGCCAGGGTAGAGGGGGGAGCATCTCCCACGAGTCTATGTTTTACCTCTACTAAAGACCAGTCAAATGAAATTAAAACAGCAACAATGATAACTTTTCTTTGCATTTGAATGTTATCTAACTGCAGATTACTGAGTCTGAACATAAATTAACATAAATTGCCATGTCTTTTCTCAATGTTTACCTAGATTAACAGCTAATGATTTCCTTTAAAATAAAGAATCATGTGATTAAAACATGAAAACCCAGTTTGCCTAGGACTGTATTTCCAAAGTGACCAAGTGCAGTTATCTGTGTTTCATCCAGTAACCAGCAGCAATCTCTGTGAGGCCTGAAGAACTAGAATCTACTGGAATTAATATATAACACACTCTTGTAGATCCTAGGGTCTATATCACCATGGAGATCAGCACTTTAAGAACCTTTTCCTGCTTCTTGAATTGAACATGTTGGGGGCCAGGACATCCCTGCACTTACAGAACTCCCTGTGATAAAACACTTCACTCTTAAGTAGGTACAAATAGTTAAGAAACAACAAAAATGAACAAACAAAGAACAGGCATTGCTGTAACTCTCAGTATTTTTACCATGTTCCCTTACTCAGAATGGTTTGCTACAGCTTAATAAGATCTGTAAGTCCTAGGGCAGGTACAGTCAGATTTAAGACTTTACATAAATACTTACTGTGTATTACTGGGCAACTTCCAAAATACCTAATAAAGAGATTTGCATCTAGAGCAGCACTAGAAATAATTAGTTTTAAATTAGTCTGGTTTTGCAACATCTCTCTCAGTTTTATTAACAAGAAGTCACTGAACCTATCCCTCTCATGTACTTCATCCTGTAACAAAAGAAAAAAAAAAACCACAACAGATAAACATCACAGATCCAAGATTATAACTTTTCACAAATAAGAACTTTTTTAAAAACTAAAATATATAATTTGCTGGTACATTACAGATGCATTAAAATGTGTAAGTCTAGTTTAAGTAAGGATTTTTTTAAAAGCTATCCAAAAGTCAAAAAATATTTCAAAAACTTTTATAAAGATAACAGAGCAGACTGTACTGGTAATGCACTAGCCACATATACCTTGATTTCAGAGGTTAAAGTGAACTTCTGAGACTTTTCTAATTCTTGTATTTGAATCTCATTTTCAAGATAATGACACAAACCACAAATCTTATTTTAATAAATTCTCAGTTCACAATTGATGAACATTTAAAGAAATGTATGATACCACATAATCAGGAAAAAGTTAGATTGCTTAGATCCATTAAGCCATGCACAAAGCTTATCATCAATTAAGGCACATGACTGATTAATGATCTTTGTTGGTGTGTTCTTCTGTTTTGTTTTATATTATGAGCTTATGAAGCAGGGACCCAAATACAACATTTTTAGGCTGAAGTCAAGACAATCATTCTCACACTTTTTTCCATTTTGATAAACAGGCAGGCACCTAAAATTATCATGAAGTTTCCTGTCTTCCGCAGTGGAGGACTTAATCTTGCACTAAACATCCTGGTTCTACGGACTTAACAAACTCCACAATAGGAATATTCACATAATCATAAACAAACACACTTAAATAATTTGCTGAAAATTAGACTACTCATTATCTTGAAAACATTTGGGCAAACACATGGACTGCAAACCTGGTATTGCTAAAAAAAGTACATGATACAAGAAATTCTGACACACTCACATTGAATCATATCTACATAAGCCTCCCTAAGGCTTTTCTGCTTTCTGACAGAGGAAGTTTGGAAAAATTTACAGCTCTGTCCTCCACAACTGCGTCATGATTCCAAAATTAATTAATTATTGACACGAACCTAAAATAAGATACTTTTACAAAAAACAAACATATGTGCTACAATACTCAGTAAGTCTTTGAAGTTAATTCAGATTCTAACCAAACAAAAACACCTTAAATGCTCATCAAATTAATAAAGAAAACTAGGATCTCATCTTCCAGTTAACAAGTAGTACATACTGCTCCACCTCACATGAAATACAACAGGACTCTTACCACAATAACATGGGTCACAGTTGATAGAGTGCTGTCTCCTGCCATTAGCGTGCGAAGTAGTATGCCATTAGTGCAAAATGTTAACAGTGTCTTTGGAGAAACCCTATTGAACAGTTCATAAAGACACTTCAGGTTTTTTGCACCATTTAAATGCTGCTAGCTTTCCACTACTTACTGAAAATTAAAGGATTGAACAGCTGCTCACCAGAAGTGGAATTAGATTATAGTTCTCTCACCAAAGAATTCATGCATACTATTTGTTTTTAAGCTATGCTTATTCCTAGAGAGTTCCTAAGGAATCTTAGTGCTTATGCTCCAAAACTTCAGACAATGAATTAATTAACAAAGTGAGATTCACATTTATATAAATAAATAAGCAAGTGAAACAGAACCTTGAGAACCTTTCCATGTTGTTTAGTTTACTGGAAAATTCAGTGTGGACTGCTTTGGAAAAACAGGTTCCAATTCTTCAGCATAAGCTTGGATATAGTCTTTCTATTTGCCTATACATGGTGGGTTGACCCTGGCCGGACGCCAGGTACCCACCAAAGCTGCTCTATCACTGCCCTCCTCAGCTGGACAGGGGAGAGAAAATATAACGAAAGGCTCGTGGGTCGAGATAAGGACAGGGAGAGATCACTCAGCAGTTACCCTCACAGGCAACACAGACTCGACCTGGGGAAATTAATTTATTACCAATCAAATCAGAGTAGGGTAATGAGAAAATAAAACCAAACCTTAAAACACCTTCGCCCCACCCCTCCCTTCTTCCCAGGCTTAACTTTACTCCCAAATTCTCT